ACAGCATTGATGCCCACCCATAGGCTGGGATGAATTGTGGCACAATGTATGGCAGAATGTCATGGTCATATCAGGCAATACCATACCATAGTCTATATTTGTGCTAGTGCATAAAATGGAAGAAAAGGTTGTGTCAATGACAATTCTATAAACTTCCCTTTGAAGCTTGATTATTACTCACGATAACACTGAGTGCTGGTGCTACAATGGTCGACAACAGAAGCGGTAAGTGATAGCATATTGCTTTTCATTTAGATCGGGGTAGGAGATGCATTGCCGTACAGGCTTGTGGGTATGTTTTGAAACATTCAGCGTATCGCCATGGGAGCAGCACATTATTCCGCGGTTCCCAAACACATAATCTACTTTGTCTCGACCCCAATAGAAAATTTTACAATCGTCTTAGTTGAAAGGCGACTACCTAATTCTAGCATTATCTTCTTCTTTGTTACCTATCAGTTATGTAACTACTTGATAAAAAGATGGGTTTCGCTAGGTATATTCGTCTGTTTGATTTACTTCATTGCGTTCATGTACAGTTTACCCATGTAGTGGACGAAGTGAAGAGAATCGAAAATGCCTCATCTCGTTTCAGCTTTGTAAATCTTCCTCGATCGACATGTCAAGTCACGATTTCGCCATTTTCACTGTTTGATACTTTGCAACATGTGGTTCTCGCTTTCATGGATTACTGCAGTGTATTCAGCTGTGAAGCGTGACGCGTCCTCTAGGTAACGGTTAGATTGCTAGATGTGGCTGCCAATTTGGAATGTGCTTGAAGGAAGTGCTATGTCTGCCTTTAGTGCCTTTTTGCTATTATTGTTCGGTGTATTACCCGCTTTTAGATCCTTCCAGCGAAACTCTACCTAAGGAAAATTGTTTGCGCTCAGTAGGACGACTCACACCTTTTGCTAGGATTGGGACGCCTTCACTGCCATCACCATCGACCTGGGTGGAGAATGATTCCACCCCACCAACTTTGCATTTCCGACCTGAACTGATGAGGCAGCTCTCACCTCCACTGGATCCTTGGACGTCTGCGCAACAACCTTCCTTGCTGTAAATGGACAGCATCTCTGTTGTCATTGTTCTCATCACCATCATTGTCACCACGCTTTTCGTACTTTCAGGTTGGCGATGGTGGCGGAGTGGGATCTCTCTACATTCCCGTAGGTTGCACGCATTTTTTTCTGTTTCCGCATTTGTACCCCACTTCATCTCCTTCCATTATTGTCGTCTCCTCATGTTTCCTTTTCTCATCGCCAAAGTTAAAACTATGCCAAGTGTGAATAAGAAAGAGAAGATTTTTCCAACTTGTACGTTACTTTCCCCGACAACAACCACTGCTATTTCATCCCTGAGAATATGATTTGATGGTGATTTCCTTTTTACGCAAACCATTGTTCTTGTCTCGCATCTGGGTGGGGTCGTGTAGAAGCTGACTTCGCCAGCATTGATGGCTTGAGTGTGAGGAGGGGATGGTGGTAGCAGGTTGATTGCATTTGTCTCATTGCCTGCTATTTTGACTGTCAACATCAAAGTAAAAGGTGGGTCTATGTCAGTCAATCCTATTTTTGTCTCTTGCTAGCGTCGACGTAGCATGTGATGACGTCTTTTTGGAAGGGAAATGAACTTACAAATGTTCAATGGATAAAGACGTAGCATAGAATTTCTCATATGGATCTTTGAAGGCCTCTTTGCAAGCCTCATATTTTGTCAGACAGCATTGATGCCCACCCATAGGCTGGGATGAATTGTGGCACAATGTATGGCAGAATGTCATGGTCATATCAGGCAATACCATACCATAGTCTATATTTGTGCTAGTGCATAAAATGGAAGAAAAGGTTGTGTCAATGACAATTCTATAAACTTCCCTTTGAAGCTTGATTATTACTCACGATAACACTGAGTGCTGGTGCTACAATGGTCGACAACAGAAGCGGTAAGTGATAGCATATTGCTTTTCATTTAGATCGGGGTAGGAGATGCATTGCCGTACAGGCTTGTGGGTATGTTTTGAAACATTCAGCGTATCGCCATGGGAGCAGCACATTATTCCGCGGTTCCCAAACACATAATCTACTTTGTCTCGACCCCAATAGAAAATTTTACAATCGTCTTAGTTGAAAGGCGACTACCTAATTCTAGCATTATCTTCTTCTTTGTTACCTATCAGTTATGTAACTACTTGATAAAAAGATGGGTTTCGCTAGGTATATTCGTCTGTTTGATTTACTTCATTGCGTTCATGTACAGTTTACCCATGTAGTGGACGAAGTGAAGAGAATCGAAAATGCCTCATCTCGTTTCAGCTTTGTAAATCTTCCTCGATCGACATGTCAAGTCACGATTTCGCCATTTTCACTGTTTGATACTTTGCAACATGTGGTTCTCGCTTTCATGGATTACTGCAGTGTATTCAGCTGTGAAGCGTGACGCGTCCTCTAGGTAACGGTTAGATTGCTAGATGTGGCTGCCAATTTGGAATGTGCTTGAAGGAAGTGCTATGTCTGCCTTTAGTGCCTTTTTGCTATTATTGTTCGGTGTATTACCCGCTTTTAGATCCTTCCAGCGAAACTCTACCTAAGGAAAATTGTTTGCGCTCAGTAGGACGACTCACACCTTTTGCTAGGATTGGGACGCCTTCACTGCCATCACCATCGACCTGGGTGGAGAATGATTCCACCCCACCAACTTTGCATTTCCGACCTGAACTGATGAGGCAGCTCTCACCTCCACTGGATCCTTGGACGTCTGCGCAACAACCTTCCTTGCTGTAAATGGACAGCATCTCTGTTGTCATTGTTCTCATCACCATCATTGTCACCACGCTTTTCGTACTTTCAGGTTGGCGATGGTGGCGGAGTGGGATCTCTCTACATTCCCGTAGGTTGCACGCATTTTTTTCTGTTTCCGCATTTGTACCCCACTTCATCTCCTTCCATTATTGTCGTCTCCTCATGTTTCCTTTTCTCATCGCCAAAGTTAAAACTATGCCAAGTGTGAATAAGAAAGAGAAGATTTTTCCAACTTGTACGTTACTTTCCCCGACAACAACCACTGCTATTTCATCCCTGAGAATATGATTTGATGGTGATTTCCTTTTTACGCAAACCATTGTTCTTGTCTCGCATCTGGGTGGGGTCGTGTAGAAGCTGACTTCGCCAGCATTGATGGCTTGAGTGTGAGGAGGGGATGGTGGTAGCAGGTTGATTGCATTTGTCTCATTGCCTGCTATTTTGACTGTCAACATCAAAGTAAAAGGTGGGTCTATGTCAGTCAATCCTATTTTTGTCTCTTGCTAGCGTCGACGTAGCATGTGATGACGTCTTTTTGGAAGGGAAATGAACTTACAAATGTTCAATGGATAAAGACGTAGCATAGAATTTCTCATATGGATCTTTGAAGGCCTCTTTGCAAGCCTCATATTTTGTCAGAGCACTGGAATTTGTATCACGACATGCGGTATCTGAATTACAATGTGGTACTCTATGCCTTCGACTGTGGAGGAGGGTTGTTTCACATCGCTATTACAATGTTGTCACTATTCTTTGATAAAAGGCAGTA